GGAAGAAAATATACTAAAGGGTCTTGGAAGATATCTACTTTTCAAACATGAAAAATGTAAAAAAATGTAATTATGATCATGTGCAAATCATTTTGAGAAGTTTCAGGACATATGTCATAATAATTTGAGTAAAAAGAAAGCCCCACGACTCTTTTTTTGTTTTTTAAAAAATACAACTTGATTAGAAAGTTAGAATATTACCTATAAGTTAAATTTTGTCAGCTAGAGTAGTTTTGAATTGTCAGAAATATAGGCATGCATCACTTAACAAGTGAGTTCCAGTCCTATCGCTAGGTCATTAAAATAATCAGTCAATAAATGAGGAGTCTTGTGGTATGTCGTGGCACCACACCAGAATATTGTAATTCTTTTTTTTTTCAGAGAGATTTTTGCTTTAGGGTGCATGAGTTCTATGGAGAGACAGAGAGACAGAAAGCAAGAAATTGCCCCCTGGGGAAATTGCCATGCTGCAATCCCTTCTCCTCCATTCTCCTCTTGGGATTTTGGGCATGCACACACATTTGCCCGGTGTGAGTTTTAAGTTGCCGGGTCTGGGACTTGAACCCACATACAACTACGTGGGAGTCCAGTAACATAACCATTATGCCATCTGATGGTCCCAAATATTGTAATTCTATCCATTCAAAACACATATGTGAGATAAGCATCAGAAAAATGATAAGACACACCATAATGCAGTAATACAAATCCAGCATGATTGCTTTAATTCTGACTATTACTATGGGTACATAATACAGTACAAGTTTATAAATGAAATATGTAGTCTTGCATGAATGTGAACGCTTTGTGTAGAGAATACTAACCAACTGTGGAAGCCAGACTAAGACTGAGAAAGGGGATTACCGAGACTCATACAGACAAAGGAGATTCTCCATGCTGGAGAGCAGGTCATAAATCCAAGTGGTCATTAAATAGACAGGTCGCTAAGTGAGGAGTGGCCTTGTTGAAATCAAAGAATTCATTATAGTTTAACAACTTGACAATACGCTCTTCTCAGGTTTGTGAAATATACTGGAACTCTCAATACATATACTGAGCTAGTGAAGTGTGTATGAATGGGTGTCTATTAGTCTGTCTCTCTCCCCTCTTTTAATTTACACAGCAATGGCATGCATGTTAAGACCATTGAATGCATTTAGTTAATTGATTTAGATCAGCTATAAGTACTTTGATGGAGCTCGATATTAGAAACTTTAAGTAATTGCTAACCCTTCTTCTTCCATGCCATTCCTTACTACTCAGATAGGAATAGGGAGGTAGTGGTATAAGGGAAACTTTCTATTCTAGTGTTTCCATGGAATGCTTCTTGACATATGGAATTTGCAGTCTATTAGTGGATTTCTGGTAAAAACAAGTTTCTATGGTTTATTACTAGGTGTGTACTAGACTGTTAAATACTAAAAAATTAAAAACAAATACACCTGGGCAATAAATCTCCAGAAGAGAAATACAAACTTGTAAATTTTTTAATGTAAACTCTATCACAGAACTTTGAAAAAATAAAATTTAAAAATGTGGGCTGGCCCTATAGTGTAGTGGTTAAGTGCTGTGTGGAAGATGCTGTATCTAACATGGCTGACAGTGCTATGAATCCGGGTCATGGCAGTCCAATAAGGCATGCCAAGTGCATGCAGTCCCAAAATCTAGATGGGATGGAGGAAAAAGGACTGGGATATGACCATGTCCCCCTGGTAATTGCTTTCTCTCTCTCTCTCTCTCATGAGTGTACATATCCTCAGAATTTTTTTTTTTTAAAAAGCAAACCTTGTGTGGAATTATTAGTCTTTGTAAAACATCTGAGAAGTAATATTATGCTTAGTGACAATGGTAAGAATAGAACAGCCCACTGTAATTATACATTTTCTTTTTTTAATTATGTATTTAGTTTTATTTATTATTTTTTAATTTGACCAGAGAGAAAGAGGGGGAGGGAGGGAGGGAGAGAGAGAGAGAGAGAGAGAGGGGGGGGGATGAGAAGGCAAGCCTCCAGATCCAGAACTCAACCATGGGGAGTCCAGCGCCTTAACCACCAAGCTACCTGTCAGCCCCTAACAATATATCTTCAAGCAGTTACGACAACTTTTCAAACAAGTGAAAGCATCGAACTTTCAGGGAAAATTTGGGACACTACAGTGGAATAATTGGGGAATTGTGGTAGCTATAGGTTAATTTTCAGTTGCTAAAAGACTAATTATCAAAGTGGAGAAGCATGTGAGTTCAAGTCTCAGAGCTTCAGTGAAAATGCATTAGAAATGAAGTCCATTTAATGTATTAAAATGTGAACAACTGAAACATTACAATATATATTACTATATATATTACTATATAAAGTCTTGTGGACACCAATAAAGTCATCACGAATTGTGGCCATTTAAGTTAATTCCATGTTCTTTAACAAAGTTCCTCCCATTTTAAAATATACTGTGCATCAAAATAATGGAATGAAAAGTTGATGGTAACCTGACATTATTTTCTAAATATATTGGGCTGTTGGAAAAGTCATGATGCATAGAAAAATATGAAAAAATATGTCATGATTTTTCTGACAGTCCAATAACATCTGAGATATTCTTTAATAAACGGTTTCTATGCATTACAGCTCTATTAAGGTATAACTTACATACATAAAATTCACATTTTAATGTACAATTCAATGAACTTTAGAATATTTACAGAGTTACACATCCATCACTATGATCCAATATTAGGAATTTCCTTCAACTTCAAAAGAACCCTTGAGTCCAACTACTGTCACACCCTATTTCCACCCCACCCCCCAATCTGTTTTCAAATAGTCCTTTCAACATAAATATTTCACTTACCTACCTCATTAGACTGTTGTAATTATCAAATAAAATGTGGATGCTTTGAAAATATGACATTCACATGGTATACTCTTTTAAATTATGTAACACATAGGGAGGCTAAAATACATACTTCCCATTAATCATTCATTTTCATGCAAAAAAATTTCACTTTGTACTATGTAAAGTATTTTCAAAGTGTTCCCAAAGCTCCAAACTTTGGCAATGTCCTAAAGTACTGTGACAGGAAGCCATCATGATACTGAGTTTCATTGTAAAAACAGTTCTTGTTAATTATGATAAACCTGCTTGGCCAGTGATTCCTTAGCTTTTATCTTTCCTCTGTTCTATTTTTATAAGTGGCTAATGGCAAGGGCCATTTTGGGGAGGTTGTCTGCTTTAAAAAAACAAACAAACAAAAAAAACCCTTACATTGCTTATCAGATTTTTCACATAGTGATGAAATATTCATGGAATTCAATGTACTTGTCAAATATTTATTGAGAATCTGCTAGGTGGCACTGCTATTTTTTTGTGGGAGATGGGGTATAGGGCACATATGCTTGCCAGAAAGAGAGAGAGGGAAAGTGATAAATCCCCCCTGGGGGGGTGGGGAAGATAGCCACACTACAATCCTTTCTCCTATATGCTCCTCTTAGGATTTTGGGCACAGATGCACACATGCTTTGCATGATTTTCAAGCCACCGGGCCTGGCACTCAAACCACACTTGGTCATATGGCAGTCCAGTACTTAACCACTACAACACCTGCTGGCCTTGGCGCTGCTGTTTTGTAGCTGAACTTTGATAGATAGAGAAAAGGGGTGGGCAGGAGAAACAAACAAAAAAAGAGAGAGATTTTAAAAATTCCTATAAATTATCTAGGCATGCATTTTAGATTAATAGCTTCTTTTGGATCTTTTTAAAATAATTAATTATCCATCTCTATAAGAGAAAATTGGGGAAATAGGTTGAATTTAAATCAATTCAAAACATTCAGTGCGGGCTGGATAGTGACATAGCAGTAAAATGTAACACTTTGAGGCTGATCCACATCAAGGTCCCGGTTCTGGTCCAGAGGCCTCTGTGAGTGTGTTGGGAACATGTGTGCACATCATGCAGGAGTTTATCATGGCATCAAGACCCTGTTGGGGTTGTTGTCTCTCTGCTTCTCTCTTTCCTCTCTGCCTGTCTCACTCATGGAAGTAATGAGGGAATAAACTTTAAAAGTATATATACAGAGTGCTTCAAGAGTCTTTTTTTTTTTCCTGAAGGAAGAAGGTACACCTTTTGCAAAGCGTAAAGCACGGCAAGGGGTCTCCCCAAGGTGTTCTCCACACGTGTTTTTAAGGGAAATATTAGGGGTAGAGGCTCTAGGCACATGATCAGCTGAACAATTGGTTCAAGAGGGTGTGATTATCTCATGGGCAATCTTGATTGGTGAGGCCTTAGTTAATCATATTTCTGTTCAAGTTTCTGGAGCCATTCAGCTTGGGGTCTTTGAGCTCACAGCCAGCAGTTTTCATCCTACAAAACATCTTACATACTGAAATGAAAACCTTATCTTTTCTTTAAGTGGGAGTTTTAGAGGTCTAATGACCCTCATTCATGTCCAATGTTGTTTCATTATCATAACCAAAATCTGAAGTTTTACCCCTTACATAAATGGACCATGTATTCCAAGCACCTTAAAAAATGCACTTTACAGGACCAGCAGTTGGCATAATGACTATGTCGCTGGACTCCCATGTAGTCCACCACAGTTTCAGTCTGGAACCAGTGGCTAAACTCACACTGGGTGTGTGTGCATGCATGCCCAAGATCCCGAGAGGAGAATGGAGGACAAGGGATTGTGGCGTGGCCAACCCCACTGGGGGAGTCATTTCTTGCTTTCTGTCTCTTTGTGTCCCTCTGTCTTTTTGGCAAGCACACGTGCCCTATAGCAAAAATCCTTTCCCCCAAAAAAGAAAAAAATGCACTTTACTTTTAGTTCGGCCCTTATTAATTTTCAGTTTGGGAAATTCTTTTTTCAAGAGTCTTTACTGTGACCATAAGACTGGTTCATCTTTCTATTTAGAATTTATAGAGTTTTTTTTTTTTTTTTTAAAATGGGATACTATAATTGCAGACTTAAGATGGACATTTCTGAGTATAATATGAAAGACATCTATTTCTTTATCCTGCACCCTGTGAGGAAATAACTCTGTGTGTTTTTTCCAAGAACAGCCAATGACGTGTTGCTAATGTTAAATCTTCTGCAACTCTTGTTTGTGATTGTTTTTCACACTATTAAACACGTCAAAATAACAATGATAGTCATTCGAAATTGGAGAGAAATCGGTTCTAAATAGTAATACATACAAGTATCACTTCCGTGTTAAAGCAGGTTCAAAATGAACTGTACTGGGGTCACCATCATATCTATTTCATTGAATAAAGAGAAAAAAAAATGTCTGCCATTGCCATATAGGGTTTAACATTTGAGCCCAAGCCTATGAACTAGTTCTCTGTTTTTGCCTTCTTTGGATAAATTAGCTAATTGTCTCATAAATCCTGAAAGAATTTCTTTATGCAGCTTTATACTGTTTAATTCTTAAAACAGGGAAGGAAGCTATAAAGTTAGACTATTCCAAGACATTTGAAAATTAAATGTGCCTGTGTATACCATAAAAGCATGTTTTATTTCCTAATGAAATCGTAAGCTCTATAAAATAGACCAAACTCTGCATTTAGGCTTTTATTTCTTAAGTCATTGATTTGGATAGTTTGGAATGTTTACATTTAAATATGACTAAATATGTTCAAAGTGAGTTATAAGATTTAGCTTCTCTAATAAATGCAAGAAGATCTCAGCAATGAGTTCTTTTGATGTATAGCTAATGTAATCACCTTAAATTAACAGATTTCTTTGGTAAAGAAATTTCCTCCTTTTTATTTATTGATGCTAAATTTTTGCTACATCGCTAATGGAAATTAAAGAGAGACAGAAGGAAGAAATACAGTCTGCAGAGGGTTCAGGAACACCCAAAAATTATTTTGTTTAACTTTATTTATTTACTTACTTATTTACTTATTTTAATTTGACCAGCGAAGATAGAGTGAGAGTGAGAGAGAGGGAAACTGAGAAAGTAAGCTGCCAGGTCAAGACTTAAACCACAGTCAACCCTATGGGAGTCCAATGCCCTTTATCCACCATGCCATCTGCTGGCCCCAGTCCTAGTTGACTGAACAAAGCATAGAAGTGGTTTTCAATTTTTTATTATGAGGTCCTCTATTTGATGATAATTTGTTTGCTAAATTATTTAATTTTATTTAATATGTTTATAAATATAAATCTACTATGTTGGACACGATGTTGTAAAAGGTGGAATCAAAAATTGGTGGGCCAATGGGGTCAGCAGGTAGCATAATGGTTAAGGTGCTAGATTCTCATATGACCAAGCATGGTTTGAGTTCTGGACCGGGTGGCTTAAAAATCATGCTGGGTACGTATGCATGTGTGTGCACATGCCCAAAATCCCAGGAAGGGAATGGAGGAGAAGAGACTACAATATGGCCATCCACCCTGGAAGGTGATTTCTCATTTTCCCTCTCACTATATCTCTCTGTCTCTTCTCAGTAAGCACATGAACCCTATGGGAAAAAAAAAAGAACAAAAAAAACCCTTAAAAAAATCAGTCGTCCAAATAAAAGTGCAATCATTAAACTATTATAATCATTTCTGGGAAACTCTGCTGCTTCTTGCAGTAATCTAAACAACAGAATTATGTTTTCCTCTAAAAATTGTATATCATCAACATATAATGACATGGAGAATTTAAACAGGTGCCCGTGTTGGGCTGCTTTTACATATCAGAACTTTAAAAACTGAAATTATTGGAAAAGGAACAAACCAGTGCATCTTGAAATATTTTCATAATTTTGGGAACCAGCAGATGACATCATGGTTATGTTGCTAGACTCCCACATAATTGACCATGGTTCAAGATCTGGTCCCAAAATTCCAAGAGTATGGTGGCGGAGAAGGGATTTTGGAAAGGCCATTCCCCCTGGGGGCAGATGTCTCATTTTCTGTCTCTCTGTCTCTCCAGAGAGTGAACACACCCTATAGCAAAAATCTCTCTCTCAAAAAAGGAAAGATTTTCATAATTTCAAGCATTGCAGACAATTAAATACCTATTTCAAAACAGTTATCACTGGTCCCTAAAATGATTTACAGGCAACTTGAAGCTAACTGGCATATTAATTTAAAAAAATAAGATAAGCTAAATTCAGTCTCGAATATTCATATTGAAAATTTCACTTGGAGCTAGATGGTGATGCAAAGGTAAAACATGTTGTTCTGCAAAGCCAACTCACACAAAAATCATCCTGATTCACATCCTGAAACCTCCCTGAGTATGTTGGGCATGCATGTGCCCACATTCCAGGGCTGACTGAGATGGGGGTAGATCGTGGTGAGAACTTATTGCAGATGCTGTCTTTCTGTCTTTCTCTCTTGCTCATGAAAAATAATATAGACTTTTAAGAAAATAAAATTCTATTAGTCTAAATCAATTAGTGTTTTAGTAGTACTTATCTATGTTTTACACTTTCACCCATACAAGGAGAGAACCATCAAAATAGGAGAGAAAGTCACCAGTGGTCTGATTGCTACTCTGATGCCTTCCCATTGAAATATTGACACAGCCATAGATGAGAATCTTTATGAAACAGTGATGAGAAGTGTGATAGAATAAAAGAAAGATTAGAGCAATTTAGTAATCACCAGTCATGTTATCTAAAGCTAGCCTCAACTTGAGTTGCACGTTACCATGATGTATAGCTTCTGCAAATCCTGGTGATGGAGTCCACCAGAGACTTTGACTTGTGTGGTCTGGGTTACACATTGGGTATGTCATTTATTGTGAACTGGCCTTAGGTGCCAAAATTAAAATTGTGCATCAGTATATTGCTCTGGAAAATTTAGGAGTAAACAGCTAAAGTCATGCTGCCATTCCTTATAGTTACAGAATTAGGTAATTTTTATTTTTGGGTTGGAGAGGTTTTTTGTGTGTGTGTGCTATAGGGCGCGTGTGTTCACCAGAAAGACAAGAGAGACAGAAACCAACAAATCACTCCCAGGGGGGATGGTCACGCCTCAATCCCTTCTCCTCCTTTCTCCTCTCGGGATCTTGGGCACACATGCACACGCGCCCGGCATGAGTTTAAGTCAACGGGTCCGGGACTTGAACCGTGGTCGACTACATGGGAGTTCAGCGACATAGCCATTACACTAACTGCTGGTCCTGGTAATTTTTATTTTTAAAATTATTTCAGTGAAACATTCATTTTGAAAGAGTAAAGTTCCCTATTTCTGTATCTAGAAGATACTATTTCTATATTCTGAAGAGTTTTCCCCGTTTGCTTTATTCTGTTTAAGTCAGTAAGGCACCAACTTAATTTTGTGCTTTAATAAAAATCACCCTCTAAATGGGTTGGTTCTGGGTGGTTGATGTTGTGATCACAGGATTTAAGATTGTAGTTCAGTTAAGTGCAATTTTTTTAAAAATAAAATACTGAATGGTTAGCATATGTTCTGATATCTTTGATGTATGTAGTTTTATGGTCTAAAAGGTTAAGCTTTACTTCTGTAAGCTCATGTCACTAATTCAAAACATGAACTATTTAACATAATTCAGAATCAGAAGACCCAGTTTTCTAATTATGACAGAAAACAGATCAATTTAGATGCAGAGAACGGAGAGTCCTTTTTTGTCCCATAGTTAGAAATGCAAATGTGAATGAAACGAAGTATCTTGACCTACAGCTTCTTTGATACAAAATGAGAGTATACCTATCAGAAAGTTATGACACCGCAAACATTTCCTTACTATTGGGTAGTTTCTATATCTGGGGATCTCAATCTTAAAAAGCCGAAAGAGGAAGCTCTATTAGCAGATTTAAATTTAGTCGCAAAACTACCATTGCACCACACGGTGGAGGCAGATATCCACAAATCCGCATGGCCAGCATTTCTGACAAAAATCTGAGCACATTTTTAAAAGTGTACTAAATATGGTAATGCCATTCATTTTGTCCTGTTTCTCAGTGATGAATTAAAAAAACTAGGCAATTTCTGAAAAGAGAAAGCCAAGCCCACTAATCTTTTCATTAGCAATGAACTTTTACTCAAATTTAAAGAAACATTTGTGGTTTTTTTTGTTAATAAAAAGAATTACAATTAGCCTACATTATATATACACTTTTCAAAATGCCATTTTGGTGGCATTCTTAGTAGGTTTTGGTCTGACACACTGTGATTAAGTTTCTATTTCACAGAAAACCTTTTTACTCTCTGCTTCTTTCTTTCATGAGAGTTTCAAATTGAGCTTCAGGAAATGCAATCCTTGAAGTAAATCTAAGTACTTGATAACTCTGCTCCAGAAAACAATTCACTTGCTGTCATCTTAAAATAAAATCTTGGATAAGAAGAATGTCTCAATAGCTTTCTGGTGGCTTGCATTTACCAATATTATATACTACCATAGGGGGATCAATGTCAAGAATTATCTTGAAAATGCAGGTGCAGCCAGAAATGCATGGAAAATGGATTAAAAACTGTTAGTACTCTAAAATCTCTTTTTGAAGTACCTTTGAAATTTCTTAATTTACCTGTGTGCTGCTATTTGCAAGTACTTTTCAACTGCTACAGTTAATAACATTTTTACTATAGTTTTTTATTTGATAACAAATAAACAGCATACTTTTCATTATGTTATGAAAAACTATGATATTATATTCATGTTTGCAGAAATTTGCATTTATACCTAAATAAAAGAAAACACATGAGGTCCCATCTCACAACCTTTTCAACTAAATAATTTGTTTGCCTACAAGCTCCTACTTTTAATTCTAAGACAATAACAGATTTTTGCCTGTCGCAAATTTGTTACTCATAGTTTCATTCTACAAGCCTTGACAAGTAACTATACATTTTAAAATCTACATTTATTATTTCAGTGTTTAACATGTATTCTGTTCAAGATTTTACTGAATTCTCTTCAGAAATTTATAAGCATCCTTTAATGAACTATTTCCTTAATGTAATAGTGATAATATATTTCTTCCATAAAAGCAGTTTTACCCTGCATTTAATTTATAACCATATAGTTCTCTTCAATTCAGTAATGATTTCCCATTCCCATCATGCATTTTACTAAAACCTGCCTATAAAATTTTCTGTGGCTCAAATTGGGAATAGTTAATGCAAGAAGAGAACCTGATTTGACTTCCATAAGTCTGAAAAAAACTGTATATACTGGGGAAGCTAAAATTCTCAAGTATGCTTACTGTCATACCCAATTTCTACTATAGTATGGTATAGTATAGTATAGTACAGTATAGTATAGTATACATACTCTCGTTCTGATGAAAAACTGACAAGAAACTCATCATCAAGGTTCTCTCCTAACGTCCCTTTCTTCATCCCCTATCACAGTGATGTGCATTTAGAAAGAACCTCTTTGCTCTGGGACTTTTTTAGCCTATCAAAACTACCTATACTGGGACCAGCAGTTGGCATAATGGCTATGTCGCTGGACTCCCATGTAGTCGACCACGGTTTGTGTCCTGGACCTGGTGGCTTAAACTCATGCCGGGCGTGTGTGCGTGTATGCCCAAGATCCAGAGAGGAGAATGGAGGAGAAGGGATTGTGGCGTGGCCATTCCCCCTTGGGGGTGATTTCTCACTTTCTGTCTCTCTGTCTCTCTCTGTCTTTCTGGCAAGCGTATACGCCCTATAGCAAAACCTCTCAAAAACAAAGTATTACCATTTTTAAAAAAAAAAAAAAAAAAAAAACCAACTACCTATACTCTGTTCCACATTTTCAAGAACAGTTCTTAGTCAAATTTAGACAATATGGTGAACTCATCCATGGAATTGCATCTACTGATGCTCTGGGTACCGGAGTTTAACTATGATTCATTTATTGTATATAACTGTGTTATAATAATAATATACAAATCCACTATTTCATCTCCCAAATAATTTTCAAATGAAGGACATCAGGTGAGGAGGGAGCATTTGGAATTTGTAGGTAAGTTTCTAATGCCTCTCAAATAACTGAGTGTAGGTCTAAGTTATATTTGGTTGTTGGGATCATGTATAACATAAGTCTAAGATTTGAAAAGTATCTACATTACCTTACTATTCTACAACCCTAAGACAGTCAAGTAAATGATACCCATTACATTTTACATACATTTACATGCTAGTTAACAACAGAAACGAGGCATTTAAAAAATACTTTCCAAGGCTAAAGTATATGTAAATGTGATCTATATTTACCAATAAGTCAACCTGAATTTTTCTTACCATCAGAACTTTTATTCTGGAGAACCTGGTTAAATACCTTCCCCATAGTTTAAATTGAATGAAGAGTTGAATTTGTGTGGGTTTGTGTCTGTGTATGTGAGAATATCCAGATCATTAGTAATAAGGTGCAAAATTTATAATTTTGTGTTATTAATTACTTGAAACTCTTTAATGTAAAACAACATAGAAACCATGACTTGTGATTCTATGATAGCAAAGATGTTTTGAAAATGAAATGCTGAAATTGCTTTTTTGTAGAAGCATAAAAAAGAATTTTCTTTACCATTTATATTTCTGTGGGTTCCCTCTAGCTATAGAATCATTTGAACACATTGTAAACCCCAGATATCAGTGCTCCTGTCTTTTCGGTTTCTCTATTTCAAATTCCCTCACCACACACATTTATAAATAAATCATATAATGCTAATCCCGACCTCTTCACCTCCAAATAGTCAAATCAGTCAATCAAAACAATCCTTTGCACAACTAGTTGAAAAGACTTTCAGTTAGAAACTCAACAATATCTTGTTAGGATGATAAAAACAAAAGAACACAAGCTCATTTCCCAGTTTTACTTGCCTGGGCTTCCTGAGGCATTTGAGCTGCGTCCACTTTGTCGGCAATATAAGCTGCCAACTGCTTGTCAATGACTTCAAGGGACTCCTGAATTAAGTGTAAGGATTTTTCGATCTCCTGGGCAGACTGGATACTCTGTTCAAGCAACTTTTGTCTCCTCACGGCCTAGAGAGAAAAAGAAATGAGTGAATCAGCTAAATGTTTACTCTCGATGGTTTTTCTGCAATCCTGCTGCATAGTAAATGAAGATTCTAGACTCCTCCACAATCACCTTTTTGTAAGATAGATTTCGCAGTTTCCTGCCACTCATTCAGCTCGGCTTATGAGAATAAAAAAAAGAAGAAGAAACAAGAATTAGCACACAGCACTGTAAGATCAGGGATCTCTACAGGCAAAAACAGTGTCATGTACATCGAGGAAAGAGGCTGGAAAAAACATTAGTGAAATCATCTCAGTCATTGCAATCTGTCGTTCTCAGGCCGAATGCTCCTCCTGATCTCATTATATAGTTCAAGAGATTTGGTTTACTTAGAATAGGGTCATCGTCATCACAATCCAATTCAAGACAGATAATCCACTTCCACCAGTGAGACACATATACAATCTGTTCAGAATCAGCTCCTTTTCAAAAAAGAATTTTAGATAACCATCTGGTTAAGGATTTATTCTGAATACTATTTCAACCAGCTTTGCAGTCTTTCCTCCCCCTATTTTCCTTCTACAATTTGGATTATGGAAATTGTTTGTACAATTGGATTTGTGTTACTGCTGAAGTGGAACAAATAATAAGTAATCCTAATATAGCTGCAATTAATCTTGATTGTTACTATATGTATGATTAGGATAATTTAACACATTTCATGTATAAATAGCATGCTGAACAGATTGCAAAGTCTCCTCTCAAGGATCTATTCACCTTTAAAAGAGTAGTTACAAAAGTAAGACATGGGGCAGGTGAGTTATTGGTAATTCATTAAAGCCATGCATCATACAAAGGATCTTTCCTTAGTACAATGTATAGGCATGATTATATGTGATGATATAATTTTTTCTACTTCAGACCATGAAGGAAGGCTTAAAAATGAACTGGGTTTTTATAATATTTACAGAATATTAAACATCATATAAACGATATAGATGTTGATTGTTAAACTCAAAAGATAATAGAGATGTCATTATTCTTCAGTGAAGCCAACCTAAAACATAGTGTTGCTCAAGTAAAAATAAAATTAAAGGCATCTGGATCAAGGGAAAAGGATCTGTCAGTCTAGTGTTATAGCAAATGTGTTGAGGGCTTTCTCAGTGTTTCTCCCTGTACCCTAGATCTTGACTTCTTGAAAATGTTGTCCTAGGCCTTTTTTCTTCCCTTTCTGCTCATACCCTAGGCTTCAATTACAAGTCACACACAGCACTCTGAATCGTACATATCAAACCCAGGTTTGCTCTCAGTCTCCACATTTGCACAAATGTTGCTTGACTGGACATTTCCTCTTTGATTCCTAGAGCCACACAATCTTAACAACACGACCAAGCAGGGAGCCATTGTATGTCCCCTTTTCACGTGGTTGATTTCTCATCTTTGCTTTTGTACTCTCTCCCTATTTCAAGTGCAAGACAAATACTAATTTGTTTTGTTATGTACAACTGGATACTTAAACTTTTTCTATCATGTCCTTTATCATTTTACCTCTAATCAATCAATCAATCAATCAATCAATCCTTTCTCATGTCTTCTATATATCTCTTGATTCATCCTTTCCTCCCACTTTCCACTGTTATCACCCTAGCTAATGTCATTATAATATCTTACTTCAAATATAGCACCAGCCTCTGGACCGGTATGGTATTCTATAAGAACTCACTAGTAAGGAAGCTGCAGAATCTTCTCTAGACAAGTGAGTCCTGGTTCTCTGTTTACAATCTGCTGGTGATTTTTAAAAATAGATATTTGTTAGGATTTTAAAATTTTTATTATTCCTTAATACAGCATAAAAGTCACTTTGAGTTGGGGCTGGACTGTGGTAGCAGTAACACAATGGTCCATGAGACTAACCTACAAGGAAGGTTCTGGATTCGCATCTGCAAACCTCTTTTTTTTTTTTTAGAGGTTTTTGCTATAGGGCATGTGTGCTCGCCAGACAGACAGAGAGAGACAGAGAGACAGAAAGCAAGAAATCACCCCACAGAGTGGATGGCCACGCCACAATCCCTTCTCCTCCATTCTCTTCTCAGGATCTTGGACACGCACGCACACACACCCGGTGTGAGTTTTAAGCCACCAGGTCCAGGACGCAAACCGCAGTCAACTACATGGGAGTCCAGCAACATAACCATTACACTAACTGTTGGTCCCCAAACCTCTTTGAATACACCAGGCATGTGCTTGCCCATGCTCTAGGGCTGGCTAAAGCAAGGGGTGGATCCTGGCATGAGGATGCCTCTTCTCGCACTCATGGAAGAAAAAAATAAACTTAAAAAAAGTTCCTTCATATTATTATCCCTGCTGATCCCTTTTATTCCCTGCTGTAATTGTAGATATATTTTAATTTTCATTTCCCAACAGAAACCATGTCTGTTTTAATTCTTAGCCTCAATCATAACCATTTTCCTGACATCTCATTCCCAACTTTATTTTATCTGCAAATTTACATTTATGCTCTGAGTCTTGCCCCAGAAACACTAATAACTTTTTTTTTCTTTTGAGAGGTTTTCGCTATAGGGCATGTGTGCTCGCCAGACAGACAGAGAGAGACATAGAGACAGAAAGCGAGAAATCACCCCCCAGGGGGGATGGTCATGCCGCAATCCTTTCTCCTCCATTAT